CTTCATCTTTCGCCCGCTTGACATTCGCGACTTCCTTGATGGGGCCTCCGTACGGTCCATCGGAGAAGAACTTGTACGCTGCAGCCTCATCAGTGTCTGGCGACCGTGCTGGCAGTACTGCAGCACCTGTGGAATCGTATTAGCTGCTATCAGTGCGCCCTGTGCATAATATCTTTATTCTTACTGCAAGCCGCGGTTACAACGAGGAGTACAGCTAAATGCATGGTGCAGGTGAAGTCGAGGCACAGACTGATATTCCCTTTCGTGGTAGTGCAAATGTAGGAGGACTTGCTGAGCACACTGACACCCATCAACACACGATGACTTGGAGATATTTTATATATTCTTCCGGCTGATATCTACCTTTCATCGACCGAAGCATGATACGTTCGGAGCACTTCTCGGTGGGGAACACCTTGCCAGAAGTCTGTGTCGTCCGCATGATCGTCTTGTGCAGACTGGGTAGAGTTCCCTCACTGGATATGCCTTCTGAGAAACGCGACATGGTACGTCGACTCATCGGTTGCCCTCATCGTGTTTGAGGGCTGGAGCTACTGCAAGCGAGCCTTCCAATCAAGACATGCAGCGTATTCCTGGCCTACTGATCCTATTCCTGTATCTTGTGTGGAATGCGATGTGATCGCCTGCTTGTTCGTACTGCACTGCCCTAAGTGCTGAACCACTGCTAATTATTGCCAGGCCAGTGCATCCGCCGTCAGGCCGGTGTTGAGATCGACGTAGCGATATGTAGGGCGTCATGACAGACAGTCGGGAGTGGGATCATTGGTCGTCTCGCTCATTCGGATCGTTACGGGCATATTATCGATTTTGGGCTCGGCTCCCAACAGACGGGAGAAGTTATGTCGAGCGTCTACTGCGATATGAGACTAGTGAACATCGCCAAGATAATGTTCTATGGTGTACCAAAGAGCGCATACCGCGTTTCGGGGAGAATTTTCAGCGCTATACTGCTTTTCCCAAAATATAGCACGTCCGTTAGAAAGTGAACTCTAGAGATAATACCCAACCGGTATTGCAACTTCTGTTCCGCGTAGAGAGATTAGTTCCGGGCTCAATTCCAGACACGGACTGGGACTACCATGGAGTATCCGTAATTCGCGTATCTGACTTTACTTCTGTGTTTTCAAGATTCCGGTATGGTTTAAAGAAGGGATAATCACCGCCTGCAAACCAAGTAAAATCTTCGGCTACGTTGTAGTGCTGCGTTGTACGGCGGAGAGTATGCCTGAAAGTAGCGGTACTCGATACAATCGATGTCACGTACCGATCGCAAATTGACTTTACATGGTTGCTTCCGTTGCGTCGATATTGCACCTGAGGTTCTCCACGTTGTCGCGGGGATGACCTGGGGCCCCACAAAGCTTGACATGTTCTTTCCACAATCGATAAAAGACCGCGGATTGCTCTATCCCTCGCACTGCGGCTATCCCAGCCCAGAAGGTGTTTATTCTGCATGCGAGAAACGAATCCTTAGGGCACGGCTGAATGCCCTAACAATGGGCGCCCATGCAAGCCGCTCTAGGTGAGGATCAAGTCAATATGCTAAAGCGTCACGAATGCCTTCATCGCTGCCTTGCTGGAGAATGCAGTATCAACCATGTTCTAGCGCGGCATTCATAACCAGGGCGGCGCGGGTACCAGAAACGGTAAGACGACGACAGAGCGCATACGTCCCGCCATTTTTTTGCTTTGGGGTGAATTGTCGCTCGCGTTGTTTGGGCTCAAGATCCATGCTAGCGTTGCATTCTTTGCTGTGAGGAAAGCATACTATCGATTCGTCGTTCGATCTCCACGTCGCAACTGATTAGGGGCTCAAATCTACGACAGTCGCGCCGTTGTACTCTCTTTCCGCTGGTGCCATGTCCCGCGAGGTTCGGAGTGGGGCTTACGAAATAGCTTCTGTGATACTTTCAGCTTCTATCCGGTCGTAAAGGTCGTGGCTGCTATATCATCCTACTGCCAGGACGCCGGATTCGCAAGCTCTCCGCGACAACGACCTTTTCAATGGGTTTCCTCACGACAAACAAGCATCAGTATCGTGCGTTGCCCGAAAGCGATCATTCAGTGAATGGAGATGTCGTAGAGCAACAGGCCACTCAGCGCAGACGGACGCGATTACCGTGGTGTTGTATGCTGTCGGCGTCACTCGGCGTCTTAACGACCCTTCTGGCGACTCGTTCCTATGCGCACAAATTTGTGGGGAAGCCACTCATCGAGGGCTTAGCAGCGGTGGACGCATACTGTACAGTCTCCGTCTCCATGAATGGACAATCAAAATCGAGCCAATGATGCTGATTGAACGATAGCTCCACTCTACAATGGCTTTCGCCCGCGCGTTGAATACACGACTCTCGGAGGAGATCTCTGGGGCAACAAGACGAACATTTGGCGCCAAGACCCGTCACCAGTCGTAGACGAGGCATGGGACTCCATCTCGGAGCCGAGATATCTTCTCTTGACTAAAGAAGAGCTTGTCAAGATGGACAGGCCGCTCGAGTCAGCTGTGCAATGGCCAGATGACCCAAACAAGTATTTGATGGAATATCACGCCTACCATGTGTTTCATTGCCTCAACGAAATGCGGAAAAATGCATATATCAATTTTGATTACTACTTGTAAGGTTCGACCCTAAAGGCTTGAGATGAAGCTCTTACTGACTATCATGTAGCGGAGGAGGAAGGCCACTGAACGCCATCCATTGGGATCACTTTACCCACTGCCTCGACATCTTGAGACAGGAACTGACCTGCTTGCCGTCTATGCAGGCCACCCGCATGGTCTGGCAAGAAGGACAAAGCGCACCTTTCCCAGAATTCCGGACGCATCGGATGTGCATGCGATGGGACGACTTTGAGGAGTGGACAGCTGCAAAAAAGATCTCCAGAGAGGCTGTTCGACAGATGACGATGACAACGCCCAAGCCAGTAGACGTCGTTGAACGGCCGGCGTCAGTTGAGGCATGGGAGGTACTTCACAGGAACAGTGAGTGGATCAAGAAGATGAAAGCTGCGGGTCACAAGTTGCACTGGGGCTAAGCGAATGCAACCGTCGAGACTGCGAGTATTGTGATGAGTTCTAATTTCCCTCCTGTTTGGTCCCTCCTGTGTAAACTAGTACAGAGAGAGTGGCATTCGAATCGCCCTTTGCCGGTCACAACCTGTACGAATTTGGTTCTGAAGCTACTTCAGACCTAGGTCGCTACCAAAAATGCAAATGTCCTGTCTTCATCTTCGAGATTGCGAGTCGTTGCCCTTTTCGCCTCCCGCCTGAGACACAGTGGCAAATTGTGCACGCACTCTGGCACCTCTGGAGCGGGCTTTGAAGCCACACTGTTCTGTTTCATCAGCTTCCCTGTGTCGACTATCTGCGCCAGGGGCTTTGCTACAACGTTGCCTATTCTCGCGACAAAGAGCCCTCATTTCCGTGGCTGGATAGACGACGCCGAGACTCATCTAGCACACTACATGGACGCTTTGCGTCAATTAATTCTTTGTCATGCTAACATAGATATCGCACAATCTAAGCTGGGCACGCAAACGCCTAAGTTTGAGCGACCTAGGACTTGCAGGAATTGGGTCAGTGTCAGGAACTTTGGCGCCGAACATGAGTGACGTGGAATGAATGCCATTAGAGTTGACGACCTCCATCTTCCTCTGAATCACTAGATGCCGTAGGCTCAGGGTTTCCATACACAGAGAAGCTTTTGAAAGGACTCTAAGCTCCGAAGATTGCCTTCTACTACCGTCTCGAGCAGCCTTCATCGGTCCGAAGATAGTACGGATTAGGCTTTGAATTGAGTTCAATCATCTGATCAGGCTTGACTATGCCGGAATACCGATTAAGGAAGAACGATCTCCAGCGTCTGTTGCGTTACGGCGGTCAACGCCAGGGCAGGGACACACATGCCATTCTTGATCCCGCTTGAAGTTAACCTTTTCATACGCTGGAACCTTCTTGGTCCCATTTAATGCTATGCAAGGGGTGATGCCAGGTAGATTCGAAGCTTTAAAGCTTAAGCATAGACTCTGCAGCCTGACGTGTAGTAAGCTGTTAGCCCGTAGCTTACAGATCAAGGGGTGTAGGCGGGGTTAGGCGTTGTTGCGTAGCAGGTCCAGCACTATAAAGTTTATAGTGACATTAGCCTCATCGTAAACCAATTGAATCGATTTTTCGTCATCCAAGAACTAGCTTCACGTTGGCTACCGTATCTGGTAGAAAAGATGTCAGTGACATCAGACTTCTGAATAGGGTGTGACTCGATGCTGGTTACTTAAGAGAAAGGCACCTCAGGCCAGGTCGAGGGCTGAGCCTGGTAGACCTGCGAATCTAGTGGACGATTGATCCCGCCAGATGTCTAGTCGTCCACCGTTGTCCGTGGGCTGTACTAAAGTCACAAAAGGCAACCTCCAAGCTAGTACTATTCGACTCAGACTTTCGAACTATAAAGGGTGCGACGTGCAGCTAGTGCGTATCTTTCCACATGATGCTTAAGGTCAGGGTTCTCACTCCCCGCCGCCACGACTTTTGTCTAGTCATGGTACTCGGACCGGACTTAAAGAAGATACATGCAACAGACACTATGCATTAACAAGCTACTCGGTCAGTCGGAGCGCAGAGGGAGTCGGGGTCTGACGGTATTTAAAACTGTCTGTATTTTCATGAGCTTATCCGGAACAATTGTCTTCCTTGGCGACACTGCTCGACGACAGGTATTGAGTCTACTTGCATTTCTCCGTCAATGTTCAAGGCGAATCAAAGGCTATCGGGAATGGGTTGGTCCATCGGAGATGCTGTCTTCCAAAGGTGTAGCCTTAACTTTTGGTAGTTGGACTGGCCCTTGTGGCCCTCTGGTCTCTTTAACAAAGTTGCGTACGCGCTAATGCACTAAGCTTGTAGCACATCTGTCGGCCATGGATTTGTCGAAATCGGACGCCCCCAAGCCTGATGTCGCTTTTCCGGTGTGGTCGTGGCCACATGAGTAGCCCTAAGTTGCACCGAAGCACAGGGAGATCTGTGGAAAGTAGCGAAGTCATCGCGGTGGCGAAGTCCGTAGATTCAGGCGTGCTGAGCTCTGTGCATAGTAACCAGCATTGAAAGTGCATGGTCGGACATGGACTGATGTTATTGAAGCCCTCAAGTCAGGTTGTGATTATTGGGGAGGAGCCCTAAGTCATCTGGAACCGCACGAGCGTCACCAGGCCTTTCGATGTAGCATTGACAATCGTGGTCAGTCATCTCACCGTAAGGTGGAGAAACCCGGCTTCTCGGGGCTTTGCTGCTCTTCTTCGAGTTATCAAGTGTCGAGAAAGTCGTCTCTAGAATATGGAACTACCGAGCGCATCGCCTCTGGTACTCAGCTCGACATATTAATGTTGGGCCGAAACTCCCACTACCATCTACACCTTGTACCTGCCACCTCTTCTGGCTATCGGGCTGCTGGCGTCCCAGAGGCTGAAGCAGCTGATACTGCAGGAAAGCTCTGCGCTCGCAGCTCGTGGCACGACTGTAGCTACAGAAGCATTGCTCCTCGGGCTACCGCAGCTGTTGCGAAACATCAGCAACTTCAGACCGAGGAGGAGATGCCAGGGCGGTCGACGTGGAGCTTTTGAGAAGCTACGATCTTTGATGTCTTTTCCCTACGTGCTTCGGGCGCGAATGCTCGCACTGCTCGGTGGATCGTACGTGCGACTCTCGCGCGAGAGCTGTGCCTTAGTGCTTGAGGTGGAACACGTTCGATATAGCATGCAATGAATACCGAATTGGAGAGCGAGACGAGGTGCATAGTCGATGCTGCCCCATCTTCTCCATTTGCCCGATCACGTGCGCTGCAAATCTTGTGCCAGCTTTCAGTGCGAGTCGCCAAGGCAACATGGATACTGCAGGAGATGCGTGCAAGTATGATGGACGTGCTTGGAAGATGAAGTTGTTGAACGAGAAGTTGCAGGAGAAGCTATGGCCGCGTCGGAAGCAGCTCCTTTCCCGCTCGTCATCCTTGCCGATCGCCGAACCACGCGGCCATTGGAGACTCCACCGTCGTTGGCAGAGCGAATGGCCACGGCACAGAGCGTTGTCGTCGATATCAAGTGGCATCGCAACGCTGCAGCCATCCACTCCGGCGGTGCTTCCGTAGACCATCACTGCGTAAACGAAGCGCTCCCCTGTCGTCGTGTCACCGTCGCCCAAAGTAGGTCGTTTGCTTGCCTCCAGCCACCCGACTTCACAGCTTCTGCCCAACCTCTCCCAAAAGACGGCCTGCACCGCGTCACTGCTCCCACCAAATCATCCATTCGCTTCCACGCTGCTGCGCTTCCGACGCCTCGTTCCATCGAGACATCCGCCCAACGTCCAACCTCCCCGAAACTCGTTAAGCTTCGACCACGGGAAAAGGCGCCTTGTCCACTCTCAGCACACCCTTCCCCCTTCCTTCGCTTCCCCTCTCTTCTTCTCGTTGCGCGCCACTCTTTGCGCTTCGCATTATGGTCTTCTTCAAACGCCTCTCCCGCAGTCGCAGTCGCTCCAATTCGCAATCCTACGTCGACAATAATTACGATTCGCGACACGACAGTAAGACCTACGACGACCAGGGCTACGCCCACTCGGAACCTCCCCGCGATCGAGCCATTGTTGCCGGGGACGACTACGACCGTCCTCCTGCCAGCGCGCACAGCGAGAAGGGTCCGCGCTTAGGTGACGGGTTCGGCAAGGAGACGTCTGGAGGAGACATGTACAGCAGGCGCGATCGTCCGGTGGAGGTTGCGAACCAGCAGGCCGGGAATGCGTTTGCGAGTGGTGGATATAGAGAGAATCTGTCGGATCGGACGAGGGCAGCGAGTAATGGATATGATGCACCGCAGGCTGGCAAGAGCGATGCTGCTGCGCCGAATCTGCTGATTGAGGCGTTCAACCAGGCGGTGCGACCTTACAGTGACAAGATTGAAGGTTTGGAGAGCGAGATTGCGGATTTGAGAGCGTACATTGCGAGCTTGGAGAGGCAGCAGAATGAAGTGCATGCTTGGATTGACAAGCGAGGGCTACGACCAGGTGAGTGTGGGAAGGTGTTGGTCGCGCTCTTGATGGCGTTCGCCCGTGACTTTCGTTGCGAAACGACCACAAGCCAGCTCAATGGCGCATGCCAGGACTGCCGGAACCTTCAATGCACACTCAAAGCTAACATAATTTCGCAGACGTGCCTCCCGCGATCGCCCAAATCATGGACTCAGCGTCACACGCATCCTCGCCCACCCACGCGGCTGCCACACTGAATGCCCAGCTGGACCGCAAGATCACCATCGTCAACTTCGACCTTCACCGTCTCCAAGACGACCTCAACGATTCCCTTCCTACGCCCTCCTTCAGCGCTTGCATGCTGAAGTTCCTTCCCGACATCAGCCGCCTATCGTCCCTTCCCTCCGGGCCGAGATACGCTTTCGATCTGCTGCTGAAGCTCGGCGGCAACCTCAACAGCCACGGAGGACTAGAGAATGGTGATGAGGAAGACATTATGGAAAGGAAGGCATTCTATGGACGTCTTGATGAGGCCATGGTCGACGTCGTGAAGGGTCGTTTCCGCGAGGAAGGCGACAGCTGGGGCGTGCAGCGCGAAATCAAGCGCATTGAGAAGACGGGAGCATACCTGAGAAATTGGGGCGTCGAGCCTTACTTCCCTCAGACTCTTGAAGTCATGAGAGACGGCGGTCATGGAGGCATGCCTACCAGCTCGGCGCAAGCCTTGCCTGGTGGAAGCGCGCCTGAATACGCGTAGATGAGGGCCTGCCTCATTCCGACTTGTTTCTTGTTGGATAATCGCCGGCCGTCCTCATCAGCTGCCATCCTATGTCTGGATCTCAGGCGCTTTACATACCGGTTCGCTGCCCGGCTGGTGTGATCGTTTGTACAGAACAGATCATCGCCTTTTCTTTTTGCTGTTCTTTTGTCGATAAAGGACGAACGACTTTGTATGGATTGTACGGATGGGACAAAGAGAAAGACAGCACGGCATACTGCATACAGAACGGAGTAATGAGAATGAAAATGAAGATATTGGACATTGGCCTCCAGATCGCGAAGGGTATTCGGCAGGCGTCTCCTCGTTTCCTCTGCGTCAGAGGTGTTCCATCGTTTGCTCTATTCATTTTTGAGCGGAAGGAAGACAGCAAACTCCTTATGATGCAGCTAATATATTAAGGCTGGGAGACTCTGACACTTCACGCCCTCCTGTCGTGCTCTCAGCCGTTTCGGGCTTCAGCCCACGCGACGTTTCTCAACAAGGCACTTCAGCCACCATAAACTCGTGCTCATTCTTTGCTATCATATTGTTCTGACTGTGTCTGATCCTCAGTACTTGCACATCAACAATCCATTCGTTGAGTTGTGGCTGCAAAAGGAAGGCAGGCGGAGAGCGGTTGGCGGAAGTTGCGATGGTCGGGCGTCTCCACACTCCACATGCATGGCTGAACTTTGCTCCGACTTCACCTCTGCTTCAACATTCACGGCCGGCGCTACACGCGGCGCTCAAGCGCGACCCAACACCCAATGATGCATACCGAAAGACTCAAGTCGTATGAATCAAGCACACTGGCCATGTATTCGACGCGCGATGTCGTGGTCACCTCCCCGGCGCACTCTTGCCTCCCCAAATTCTGTGCTGGAATTTCGCTGTTTCTGGGGGCCACTGTTCACGATGCAACCTGTGCCGGAATGAAGTATTGGCGCTCAAGCTCTGAGAACTTGCACGGATTAGAGACCTGGTAACGCAGTCGTGCCATTCAAGAAATCGTCGAGATGCAGTCCTGAACGAGCCAACCGAATCAGACGTGGAAGGGGGTTGAGCTCATGATGTTTTGCTTGGAAGCCAACATAGATTGTGTTCGTCTTCTCTGCCGCTTAATCGGAAGGCCCGTCGCTTTTGACTCCCCGGAGGTCTCTGCAACTGGATCGCTGATCAAGAGGATGGAGTGGAGGAGTAGCCACGCCGCGGGCAGTTCGAGAGAAGGCGATGATACGGCTGATGGTGGATCAGCAAAGCATCTGTCTACAGCTGATATCTATTGAGTGTTGATTCTGGAACATGCATTCGTTGGATCGCAACACTTTGGATTTCAGGATGATCAGATGGAACTATATCCCGTCAAGTCTACCGTCATTGGAGCAGATGTGGCCGCAAAGCGTCTGATACGCCGCTCGAGATTTTGAGACTGCTGAGAGTTGTCAATCTGTTCCTGCCGGGCTCCGCTGATCGCTGCTGCGAACCAAACGCAATTTTGGCTGCTCCTGGGAACCGATGTTCTGCTGTCTCCGTGGCCCGATGGATCTACAGCACCTTGTCTACAACTCGCTCGACAAAATCACTGCTCACAGTGGGCGCTGTATGCTCAAAGTGAACTGAGCGCGTTCCTCCCGTTGACCCAAAATGGCTAGGCACAACGTTGCCAAGGATACTCGCACTCAACCAGCTCAAATGGCTGCGACTGGCAGTTTGAGGCCAGCCTGCTATACCACCCTGGTTCATATTGTGCGCCCTGCGACATATAATCGACTTCATCACTTCTAAATACGCGACACAGGCATTGGCCCTTACTCTGTTGAATGTGACCGGACCCAAGGTCAAAGAGTGAATTCCGCGTCGAGCTTCACTTCAGCAAACACACGATAATCTTGCATATGAGTCTGCCTGTGACGGCCCACTCCTTGCCGTTCTGTTCCGAAGGCGCACCACAAAAAGGCCCCTTTCTTGCTGGCTCAACCCAAACTTCTTTCCACCACAACAACACACTACCACCAGCAACCCAGACCACTCACCACTTCCACCCATCCAACAACACATTCAACAACACACAAACACTTCTATCACTCCATCTTCACAGTCAAGATGCAGTTCACCAAGATGATCGCTTCTGCCATCACCCTCGGCGCCGCCATGGCCATCACCGGCGACCTGACTTACTACAACGCCGGCATGGGTATGTATTAGCTCGAACCACTGCAGCCCAACAGCAGCGAACTGACCTCCTTTCTCTCTGCAGGTGCTTGCGGCAAGGTCTCCTCCGAGGGTGAGTACGTCTGTGCCATTGGCCACAAGATGTACGCGGCCGCTGTCATCGGCACCAACCCGAACAACAACCCATACTGCGGCAAGCAGATCCGTGCCACGTTGCCAGAGACCGGCAAGACTGTCACCGTCACCGTCGTCGACAGCTGCGGCGGCTGTGAGGACAATTCCCTCGACTTCGCCGGCGGTGCTTGGAACGACATCACCAACGGTGCTGCCCCGACCCGCTACCACGACCTCGAGTGGAACTGGGTAAGTCATGCTCCTCAATTCCCCTGACTCTTTCGAGGCACATGCTGACTGCTTTACTCTTTGCTTTTTCAGGTCTAAATCTTGACTCGACCACTTTACATATCCACTTCTCCCAACATCCACTCGGTCGTCATGTGGCCCATTGAGGCTACTTGGCAGGGGTGATGGACGATGAGACTCACAGGGCGTCGTCACAGATGCTTTTCTTACGACTTGATGACATGAGCACAAGGGCATCGAGAGAGATGCGCCGGCGAGTGCTACACACATACAGCATGCAGATGAGAGATGGCTACAGCTCGTAGAATGCTTCTCAGATACTGCAAGAAATCGACAGAAACGACTCTAAGCTCATCAGAACTTCCATCTCCTGTGCTTTCATGTCCGTGATCGTCATGTGCTCTGTTGCTCGCTTGTGTTGGTGATCCCACGTGTTGTGTTGCAGATGTAAGCTGTTTGATCATCATGTGCGACTGTGTACTTCTTCACGTGGCAGTGGCAGTGCAGAGCGCAAGCGTGCCTGGATTCGCGGCGTGATGGTTGCGAGCTGGTTTTGCGCCGAATTTGTTGCTGCTCAATATTCACCTTTCCAGCCAAACCTTGTTTCCTGACGCCGTCACTTCTTCCTCCAAACAAGCCCGATCGCCCTTTCACCTCTGACACCAATCCGCACTTGCGACTACTTCCGCAAGCACTTCGCACTCCGACCGCTCTTCGCCGAACAACATCAAGCACGTGGCGATCCGTCCTCGTTTGCGCCAGCACGACTACCGCGATCACGCGCAACACTTCCATCAACATCGCGCCGCCATCACAACTTCGTCCAGCGCCACCTGGACCGCCAACATCAGCAACCATTTCCGACTCCGACAAACCACCGCACCCCCTAAGATCCTACAGCCTCACCATCATCGAAGATGCCGCCAAGCATTTACACGAAACACAACGAAAAGCACAGGAACGGCAAGGGTGTCTTCCTGTTCGTCTCGCTGTTGACGGCGGGACTATGCAGCCTCTACCCCATGTGCTGCTTCCACAACTACAGCAGCAAGACCAAAGCCAAGACCAAGCAAGCGATGGCGCAGCTGGAGCAGGATCAAAAGGAGGCGGCAGAATACCAGGCGAGGAAGGCACATCATCGTTCCCGTTCGCCGCCGGACGTGGCCTACGTCCCTCGCAACCGCCAGTCTTCGACGAGACGTCACGAGAGTCGCCGTCGCGAAGATCGTCACCGGAGTCGCCATCGCTACTAGGACGACGAACGCTCTCCCGAGACAACAGGGCGGACACACAAGAGACTGCCCTCTACCGACCGGAGTCTGGATCGAGAGCGGAATCGCCGTCACAATGGCCGCGCGCCTCCCCGCAAGTACCATCACAGCTCGTGGGAGGGAGTGCTGGCGCCGATGCCGGCATTCTGATCTCGAGTCCTGATCCCATCGCCGAATACAAAACACAGATGCGATCTCTCTTGGCAAGATCAAGTTTCCCCAGATCGCTAGCCAGCGTACACCCACCCACACCCCGATCGCAGCATTCCCGTCACTCCTCCAGCACTATATCCTCCATCACTTCACAGTCGTCCTATGCAAGCAGTTACGCCTACATCTTCAGAAGAAAGAAACCAGATTTGAGATTGCTACGGAAGAGCAGCAAACCGCCCCAACACCTCAAGCCGAGAGCATCAGCAGTGAAGAAGCCAGTCATCATTGACGCAGCGCAACGAATAGCGGGACCAAGAGTCGTCGAAGACACCGGATACGTGGAGTCTACAACGAAGCATATCACGCCACCGCCAATGGAAAGACCCATCGCCTTGACACTACCCGAGCTACTGAAAGCTGAGCCACCGCCGAAGCCGTTGCGCAAAGTACAGACTCTCCGATTCAAGAGCCTCATCACAGAAGGAAGACAGCCAACACACACTCTCAAGACTGCGGCGTCGCGACCAGTCCTTTCTCGTGCTGATCCGCCGCATCCATCTCCTCCTCATCCTTTGACCACCAGTACAGACGCTGCGCCGTTGCAGACCGGATCAAGAGTATTGAGCCTCGAACACCTGCACGAGTACGAAACAATTCGGCGCACAGCTCGCGAAAATCGACTAAACGAGCAAAGATCTCGATCCAGAGGGAAGCGAGGCTCGAGCCATCAAAGCAGCAAGAATAGCAGCAGGAGGGACTTGAGGGGCATGAGAAAGCACTACCATGATGTTACGCCCCAAGAACAAGAGTGCGATTTAGTGAATGAATCTGCTTCCAGCCACGGCAATTCTTACTTTCAAACTTGGATACCGGAAATAACATACTGCAAAGAATTTGTACCCTTGCGGACACCAATTTCTGATGAAGACCGCGAAGCTTTGGACTACTTCGTACCAAGGTCAGACCCACCCAACGCACAGGACACACCGCTTCCGAGCGAGCAGTTGCAAAGAAGCTCAACTATGGGAACGACGACGTCAGTCGTGGCAACGCGCAAGTCGAATGCATTCTTCAAACTCTTCAGAAGAAGCATCTTCAAAGAAAGAGACGATCATGGGCATCATCACAAGTCGTCGAGCAAACAGGGTTCTGGAAAACTGCCCTCGAATATCGCATCGACAGAGTCTCCTGAGTGGATGGACGTGCCTCTCCCGCCTTTGACACCTGGAATCACGCTGAGCAGTCCTGCTGACAGCAAAGGCGAGTATACGCGTTCGCTTGTGCCAGAGCTGCATTCACCATCGTACTTCGGGCGGACGAGATTCCTTCGTGACGACAGCTCGAAGTCTTTGACACCATCACCCGGCCACGGATCGCCCGGTCATACTTCGGCGGCAGAAATGAAGCCGGATCGCGCAACGCCGTCACCACTTTTCTCTCGACCAAGACACCACAAGCGATCTTCCTCTGAGGCATTGTCGCCAATGTCAAGACCTCAGAAAACTTCAATGCTCAAACATAGCAGCATTCTGGAGGGAGAGGCGTCCTTCAGCGCACCAAGCCAGGTGCGGCCTGGCTTCGTCTCTACCATACCACATTCATCAGAGTCGGAAACCGCTTCCCACAACTCGGTAGAAGACCAGCCCCATCGGTGCGAGACACTAAAGCAGCGACCCTCGATCGCAGGTCTCGCATTGCCCAACTTGAAGTCGAAACAAAGTCACGCCCTCACATTCCAGGAGCCCATCTTGCGAAAGAAGCCTAGCACTTGGAAGAGCTTGGTCAATGGGATTCGCAAAGTGTCTTCGCTTGGCATCCTTGCAAGCAATCGCGACTCATCATCAGGAGAAGAAGTTCAGCGCCAGACGCCACTTATGAAAGCAAAGAGATCATTCGCAAAGTTGAAGCTGCGTCCCTCGTTAGCTGCAATCAACGTGCGCAACGGCAAGCTGGTCCGAATATCCTCGCGTGACAGTCAGCCACAGTCGGGAGACATAGACACTGAAGACGATGATAAGCCATCGTTCTCGCATCAAATGTCTTCTCCTCAGCAGGCTCCACCACAGCCACGCCAGCCTCGACCCATCAGGCCCGACGACTTGATCGTGACGAATTTTGAGCAAACGCCATTCAGCAAGCGGTACTACGACAGTATTCGGGCCGAGCAGCAAGCAATCCGAGCTTTCATCGATCAAACGATGGAAGAAGACGATGAAGAATGCGACGAAGTTGTACTCGGCTTCGAACAGAACGTTCCCGATCATCTACCCAAGAGTCCGCTGTGCCCTCTGCACCCAAAGCACAAGAGTGGAGGTAAAGCGATCTGTCCACTGCATGGAAGGTACAAGCCACCAAAACGACCGCCAAGCCCGATGCACAAAATGGAGATTGTCTTTGATACTCGTGAGAACGATGTTGGGGGCCCATCAGGTGCGACATCAGCTCAAGCCAAGCTGGCTACTGGCATCGATGGCACGGAGGCGTACCTCAAGAGAGCAGCTTTCACGTCGCAGCAGACCTTTCGTTCTGCAGGGAATGCACGACGCTTGCAGCAGACTTCGAGCATGGGGAGCGATGGAGCGGAGTCTCTGGAATTGATGCACAGTGAGAGCCCGGCGGACGTAGATGCTTGGTCACGGCCTAGGAGGCAGCGACTTCATCATTTGCAACGAGGATCAGAATGTGCTCGTGGGAGGACTTTGTTCAGAGGAGAGTCCGCGGTTGATATCCGCAAGAGGCGAGCGAGGCGGCATCGAGACTGATGTTGAGAGGAAGTCCTAGAATAGTGCTGAATGAATTGCAAGTTTCGTGCTCATCTCACTTTCTTCATTCTCGCGGATAGTGGTCCCATGTGCCACATTGCGTCAATTGTACTGGCTAAAGGTCTTTCGCCAGAGACTCTTCATTCCTGCTTATCGACGTCCGATCACCTCCCTCTCGACTGCGTAGCGATCCGGACCTGTATCTCTTCGTCTCCCTCTGCGGTCTTCGAGCTGTGTGTAGTGGGGAGACGGAACGGCTGATGAAGGCGCACTCCCGGGATATCGAACACTTCCTCCGTAACCACTGTCCGTTTCCGAACGTCGAGGGGGAGGCGGCACTGGACTCAGTGGCCGCTTATTGTACTCAGAGTTGTAGTACCCCCCGTCCGCGACTGGGTAATCCGAGCTTCTCCGGCTGCTGCGATGCAGATTGTCGTACCTGTAGTCAAGGTCGCTATCGTAGTCTTGCACATAAGGTTGTGGGGGATGCCGAAAAGGATTTTGATGGGGCCCGTAGAAGGCTTCGACGGGCTCTGTTGGACCAGAAGGTCTGGGTATTGGGCCGTGAAACGAGTGATGTCGAGTTCTCGGGGGAGAGCGGGAACGCGAACGACTGGATTCGGATTCGCTGTGCACACGCTCTCGCTCGCGCTCTCGCTCACGCTCACGTGAAACCGTAGAGTCGGCCCAGGAAACGCGTGATTCGTTTGAGGGGGGCTCTTCTCGTATCGATCCCAGTGGTTTCGGTGGATACTCGTTGGCACTCGCGGCTCGGCGTAGCGATGGGCGCAGGGGTTCTCCTCTGTCTCTTTGGTAGCTCACCGCGCGAATGTATTCATCTTCTGGATATTTGTCTCCTGTTGGAGAGTCCTCGCTCACCCTCTTGTTATCCGGGGAGGAATTCCGCTTGTGATTTTTGGAGCGCTTCTTGGAAGCTGTCTTCGATTTCTTGGACTTGCGCGGTTGCACCCACATCTGCATATGCACCACTAGGCCAGGCCAGACGTTATCCGACCAGAATTCTGGCAGTATCACAAAACCATTGCTGTCAACCAGAGAGTACTTGCCGTCCCGTACTAAGGCCTCATGGTCTTCTCCAGTGCCTTTGGAAGCCTGTAGAATGCATCGTTGCATGGCGGCCCAGTCGCGCACAACGGCAAAAGGGAATCGAAACCAGTTGCCGAGGGTGTCGCAGAAGCTCACTGCCGTGATGTACTTCTCATGGTCATGTGAAAGGTTTGGACGAGGAGTCTCCAGCATTGAACTTTCGACCTTTGACTTTGCTGACGCAGGCTGCGATATGTCATTTGAGATAGGGCGAGAAATCCGGCCGCCAGCAGAGCCTTCTCCAATCGACTGATAGATTCTCCCAGAAGACAGCTCGGACGGCTGTGCTTGTGATGTCCGGTTTTGATTCTGAGTTCCCTTCCGCAGCTCTTTCCCCAATTCGTGTCGCAAATCGTCTCCACTGTTCAAATTGCCATACTTCCCAGCAACCTTGGCAACGACTGCTGTTTGCTCCTCTCTTGACCGCCCGGTCGTGGTGGCAGCTAGGAGTTTCAAATATCGTGACTCGAGTTCCTCGTACTGATCCTGTTTACGAGGCTTCTTCCTTCTACTGTATAACTCCAACGTCAAGGGAATAATTGCATCAAGCACTTTGCCGGCTTTGAGGTCGTCGTGAAGCGTTGTCTGAAGCTCTTCCATCGCCTTCGTCAAAGAGTCCTCGGTCCCCATGTCATTCGACGAAAGTTCTGGAGCTTCCCCTGCAAGAATGTGTTTGGTGTTTCGTATGCCCATGTCCCCAGGATCGACGAAGTGTATCCTGGGATGGGTCCTTCTCGTCTCCTCGATTCCTGTGCTGTCAGACTCGTCATCAGATGCAGCCACAAGCAGATGCTGCGGTAAAGAAAACAATGCAAGCTGCCGCTGATGCGCTTGAACGTGCTTGAACCAGTGTCGCTGAGATGGGCAGATGCACTGGCAAAGTGGGCATCTGGGGCTCGACGCCGCTTCTTGCGGAGTTGCACATGCGTCGGAGATTGTCTTTAGTGTCAAGATGTCGTTCGTGACTTTGTGATGTTCCACAATATGGTGTTCGAGGTCTTGTACAGCAGTGAAAACGCAGTCACAGTCGAAAGGACATCGCCAACTGATCGGATGCGATGAAATCAGGTGTTGCTGCCATTCGCGAGGGCTCGAGTAGGCTCGATGCGGACTTGTACATAGTTCGTAGGTACATGCGTATGGTTGCAGATCGTGGAAGACATGAGTTCTGCGATGTTGTCAGCATGTTGAACCTTTTGCGGAATGGAAGTTTTGCTGACCGCCATTGTTTTTCAGTCGTGACAGACACGTTGCAAGAGCAGATAGGACATCTCAAGCGATCTTGCCCTTGCTGCTGTGGAATTGGTGGCACCTTCAGCGAAAATACCGGAGCCGAGTCTACGCGTGGTCTGCTAGAAATGCTAGCTGCAGAGCGCCACAGAGTGCTAATAGTTACTGCAGATGCCTCGGTCTGGGCGACCTCGGACGACGGGCCTAAACCCATAAAGTCAGACTCATCGTCCTCGACAGAAGAGTCTGGGCCGTCGCTAGTGCGATGATCGTGGCTGGGTTCATTGTTCTGCCAATGCCGGAGGAGCTGCCTGCGGCGAGAAATGCACTCCGCCAGTCGCTTGATCAAGAACGCTGGAGCGCTCGGAAAGTCTTGACGAACGTGCTCCTCATCAAAATGCAGATATTCAAACGCAGCGGAAGCTTCGGTAGACTTCAGATAGTCGGTGCCAGCGGGCTTCCGCAGTGCCAAGTTCAGACGGTAAAGCTGATCGACTACGTCGCCAATATGGCGTGTTTGGTTGGATCCGAGGTCATTCGGCGCCGGATCATATTCAAAGTCGAGTGAGATGTCATCTTCATCATCTTTATCGCCCGCTGCCGCTGATACTTGGTCATTGTCAACTTCGGCTGCATCATAAGCTTGATCCAGACTGTCCGCGAGTTTCTGTAGCAAGGACAGAAGTTGATCTCGAAGGCCCTGCGTGTCTCTTAAACTGTAGGCCTGGCCATTCTGGTCAGCAGGCATGTCCGTGGCCGCCTGCGATACCCATGCTTTGAAGCGAAACTGCTCGTTCTTCAGGCTAGTGACACAGCTTTGCTGGCTTTTGTCCTGATGTCTTTTTATCGTGGACTCAAACTTGGTCACGCAGCTCTCGATTCTCTCTGCGATGACTCCATGCGGTAGATACTGGCTTGTTGTCATGTTGAAGTCAGATTAGACATCTGGACAGTGTGTAGTCTGATAGTTGCTGAGAGCGTCGACGTACTTGTTTTGCACGATGTACGCGAGTTACGCTAGAGGCGCATGCCCCACAGCGGCGGCTCGAGCAGGATGACCGCCTTATTGGTAGACCGATAGCCTCGCTAAGCCATGCTGCATGAGCTGAGTGAGTCTTGTACGACAGCTGCACTCCGAAGGATTGTCAGCTTCTCAGCGAGCTGTTGAACTTGTTTGAACTTCATTCATACACCATGTCTGGCATCGAAATCGCTGGATTGGTCCTTGCGACAATTCCACTGGCCATCTCTGGCCTTGAGCACTACGCCGACGGCGTGGGAACGATTCGAAAGCTGAGCCACATTCGCGAGCACTTTCACTATCTTCGGACCGATCTAGAGGTAGAGCAAGTATTGTTTATGAACACCTTGGAGACGTTGCTCTCAGATACCCTCGGAGCACAAATCTGCAATCATCTGTTGACACAGTTGGGAGGCTCGAGCTGGTATGATTCTGATGTGGACCGGCGACTTCGTGAAGGACTGCAACGTTCTTACGATGTGTTTTTCAAATCCGTACAGCGGATTGAGGAAGCCTTGCGGGACCTGATGGAAGCATTGCAGCTTGATGGAAACGGCAAGGTGAGTGACGAGCACGGCGTCTGGTGAAAGAAGTTCCTGGTCACCAGCTGACCATTCATAGGGTCCATTCTCCATGGAACGGAGATCCATCGCGGAAGGGCTGAAACGGCTGAAGTTTGGCCTGAGAATGAAGAAGTACCAAGAACAACTAGACACCATCAAAGGCTGCAATGGCCGTCTCCTCAAGCTCGCGGCGCAATCAAGCACTCTCAGTCGCCAGTCCAGGCACCCAGCACGTGTCGTCTCCCACTATCAGGATCTGCGAAATCATGCCGTGAGCATATTTGAGTCATTGAGTGCGGGTCTGTCGAGATCTTGTAAAGAAAAACACAGGGTCAATTTGTGCATGAAGCCTTTTGCCGCACAATCTGATGACGAAGAACTGCAACTGGCCGACTCGCCGACGTTCAAAGTGGTGTTCGAACATTGTGGCGCAGATCGACCAGCAGGGTCATCGGTATGGGAGTTGGAGGAAACTGACATTCGAATGCTCAATCTTGCATCTCATCCAAGGAACGGAATGCAGTCTCTGCCGCGATTGACGCGAACCCGCTCGGGCAAAGCGGCGACGGTGCGACAATACAACAGTCCGCTGCATGAGATCAGCGATGTCTGCACAGGCCTGGGCGGTCTGAAAGGCCTGCAGCAAGCAGCATGTCTTGGGTACATGGCTGACATCCAGAACAACTTTCAGCTGGGCTTGTTCTGGCCAGGTCGCCGCATGATTATTGGGGCGTCTCTGTCCGCCATCTCGCTTGCTGATGTCCTGGATGGCCCACAACGATCATGGGTGAGCGACTTGGACAAGCGGATTCTGGCTCTCTCTTTGGCCTCTGGAATGTTGACGCTATCCGGCACAGCTTGGCTCTCAAACGGTCAATGGGGCAAGCGAGAGATCACAGTGTTTCGGCAACCGAGTGGAGTGCTTTTGAGTCGCCCATTCGTGACGCAACAGCTTTATGGACCTTCGCGAGTATCGCAGGCATACTTCGAGACTTGCAGTCTGATTCGAGATGAGGCGACCTTTGCTCTAGGCGTATTGCTTATCGAACTATGCATGGGGCATACTCTGGATGATCTTCGAGCTCCTGAAGACCTCACCCCAAATGGCGTGAAGCACAAGCTTTCGGACTTTTTGACAGCTTCACGGCTGGTCGACGAAGTATATGGGATAGCGGGAGGCCATTGGGGTGATGTCGTCCGCCGTTGTGTCCATTGCGAATTTGATCAGCGAAACGTCGGTCTTGCCAATGCGGAATTTCGGCAGGCAGTGTATGAGAGAGTGGTTGCTGTACTGGAGAAGGATGTGCAAGATGCTCAGTCTTGGTGAGGCAGATGGAGTGGGACATGAATTGGTAAGGTTGGAGTTGGAGTTGGAGTTGAAGGGCAAGGAGATTGCTGACCGGAGCTCTTTCCGCCAAGAGAAACACACAGACCATGTCGGTGGCGTCACCGGGCTGCACCTCGGAAGTCAAGCAACAGTGCTTGATGAGCTTAGTAGAGCTTGATGTGAGACATCTATTCTGCTTTTCCACCACTGAACTTCTACAGATACATCTGACACCATTGGAAGTGCCTGATGGCAAGGCCGCCGACCAGTGTACCCCCACTGTTTATTGATAGATCGCGGAGTCGCTGTTATTGCTGGAGAAGTCCATATGCGGAGAAACCACTTCACAAGGAGTGCACCCTTTCATCGCTGCCACGTCTGCTAATACTCTCATCGTCTAGCTGGAAAGACCACAGCAACGACGCTCAGCCCTGGTAGAGACTTCGAAACCTCTCCAGGGTACCCACGTGATTCCAATTTTGAGTTTCAAGCTTTCGATCCACCTTCCTCAGCTAGCCGAGACCTCATCAAAACTCCACGCAACACCGTCTTTCTTCGCCCAACTTTTCCCTGTTCATCCGTCCGGACGCCGAAGCGGACCAAGTAGCTGACCGATTGCGGTCCTCCTCGACATTCATTGCAGACCTCTCATGGACTTCGAGCCACTGTTCTTCTGCCTCCTACTCAAAGCCATTCGCTGAGTGATACTGGACTTCCACTGGAAGGACCCGAGAGACACGACACCGCCAATCGGAACGCAACAGAGTGGTGACCCGGCGCCAGCTCGTTTACATCATGTCTCCTCAATCCAGCGACCGCGATTCCACAGACGTCGCAGCTCTTGCGCTCCTCGGCAAGAAACAGGTTCTCGAACGCCGCTTCAGCTTCGCTACTCTTCTCGGTTTTGCTATTTGCGAGCTGATCACCTGGGAGACTGTCCTCGCACTGTTCAGTCAGGCCTTCCTGAACGGTGGACCTTCTGGCAATGTCTACGGCTTCATCATCGCTTGGTCCTCCACAGCTTCCGTGTACACAGTCATATCCGAACTCGCATCCATGGCTCCGATCGCTGGCGGTCAGTACTATTGGGTGTACATGCTGGCTCCTCCGGAGTACAAAGTTGTGTCCAGTTACGTCACGGGCTGGTTGACAACTTTGGCCTGGATTGCGACAGTTGCGACTGAGACGTTGTTTGGCGGCACGATTATTCAAGGAGTGCTCATTCTGAATCATCCGGATTATGCTGAGAAGAGGTGGCACGGGACGCTCTTGACGTGGGCTGTGATAGCGTTTTGCATGTTCATGAACCTCGTGTTGCCACATTGGTTGCCCAAGTTTAACTTCGGCGTCATGATCTTTCACCTCTGCGGCTTCGTGGCGGTACTGGTGACTTTGTGGGTGATGACGCCTTCTCTGAAGTCGAATGAGTTCGTGTGGAGGACTTCGATGAACGAAGGTGGCTGGCCCACTCAAGGATTGTCGTATTGTGTAGGCTTCCTTGGCAATGTCGCAACATTTGTCGGAGCGGATGCTAGGTGAGTTCGGAGAGCAGGGCCAATGCCCTCAGTTCTGATGCTTACATGCACACAGTGTACACATGGCAGAGGAAGTCGCAAACGCGGCGACCGCAATACCAAAGGCGATCCTGGGCGCCATGCTCATCAATGGTCTCGTCGGATTCGTAATGCTGGTAAGTAGTCCCCGTTCAAGAGCAAAAGTGAGACTTCTAATCATTGACCTAGGTCACAATTCTGTACTGCCTGGGCGATACAGACTCGGTCCTCAATACGAAAACGGGATTTCCATTCATCCAGATCTTCCAGAACAGTGTCCAAAATGTGGGCGGAACTGTTGCCATGACGGCAATTGTGATTGCGGTGACCATCGCCTGCTCGAATGGTATCACGACAACCGCATCCAGAATGACCTGGTCCTTCGCCCGTGATCGTGGTCTACCTTTCTCTCCCGCACTCTCCCGATTGACGCTGAAGACGAAGATACCGTGGGTGGCGGTGCTGGCCGTGACCGGAATCGCTGCTTTATTGACCCTCATCTACATCGGATCTGAAACAGCTTTCAACGATGTGGTGTCACTTACCATCACCGGATTCTATGGCAGCTACTTGGTTCCGGCATCATTCCTGCTTTACCACCGCATCAACGGCAACATCGCACCTCACGGCAGTGATCAGGAGGATCTCTCTTCTTCGTCGGCGCGCGATCTGGTCGAAGATGGACGTATCGTCAAATCACCAACAACTTCGGATGAAAGCACAGATGGCAGCACTGTTGTCGCCGAGACTCGTCTGGTGTGGGGTCCATGGCATGTTCCTGGAATCTGGGGTATCCTGAACAACTTGTACGCCTGCTGCTACATGACCTTTGTTATCTTCTGGAGTGTTTGGCCTCCGACGTACAAAGTCACGGCATCGACCATGAATTATTCGGTCGTGATTACAGGCGGTGTACTGATCTTGAGCGCAGCGTACTTTTATGCGTATGCGAAGAAGCATTACAAGGGTCCGTTGATCGATGAGGAGATCGCTGCTCTGATGAGGATCAGATCTGTGGTGCCTGTCAGGACGTAGATTCGGTGATGAAGTCGGCGTGGAAGAGAGTACATATGTAGATTTTGGCAGCTGAATCCCTTGCCACTTCTTACTCGGCCGTTCCAACGACTAGATATAGTCCTTGCCCCTCGATTCAGTGCCGTCGTTGGTACGCCAGCTGCTTGGATGTTCATGTCGCGTTCCTGCTATTGATGTCCGCTCGTTTGGGGAAAGCCGACAATTAGTGGCCGAGCTTATTACTCAATATTCGATGACTGTCACTTGGCAGCTTCACGACCTCAGTTCTTCGCATCAGTAGTCACTTCACCCTTTCAATCTTCACCTAGAAGACCGCCTTTCTCTCCTCTCTTCGAATAGTCGAAACCGCCATGGCCTGGAAGGTGAAGACTTCGGCAGACATGCGCTTTAGATGGCCACTCGCAGGACGACGCACCACCAACGGACTTGGAGGAGCAGGACGCATAGCCGGAGAGGACGTTGAGATGGCAGCCATCCCACTGTGGCGAGAAGAGCAATTTTCGTCTTTCGCGGACCCAACTCTTTCGATAGCTTGTGCGGATTCTGTTTCGTGTCCGCTCTGGCTGTTGACATGAATTCGCTGAGTTCTAGTGGACCTGCTTAGTCCGTATTTGATGGCGTCAACAACAACCATCCTCCGTCCCTTCTCCATCCACGACGTCTGCTCTTCACATGAGCACTCTGCTCAAATCTTCGGCCTCCAGCGACATCCAACATTCCCTACCTCAATCGAACATCCCCAACGCAACCGTGATCTGGAAGCGAGCGCGCTCTGTGAAGAGCTCGGCAGATACGCGTCTGAGGTGTTCACTCGCCGCAAAGCACAGTATATAGCCTTCAAGAGCAGGATGCATGGCAGGAAAGGAGACGTTGAGAGCCATCCCACGGTGGCGAAAAGAGCAGATGCATCGCTGAACGCGATTGATGAAGACGATGACACCCAAGGCGCCAGATTATCGGCTGGACCCCCATGTCCGCCTGTTGGCGATGCCGCCTGCAAACCATCGTACCGGCAACACGACGCGGCTGCTACGAACGGACAGTAGACGCGTAGCCGCCGCAAGCAGGAGCATCGAAATGATGATATGTGATACAGCAGCTCGGTCAAGCCGCTTTGTCGGAAAATGTCGAGGTGAAGTTCCTGCCTTCCCAAGCTCTCGTTGGGTGCTTTCTATACTTCAATATGTCCCTCTACCACGACGTGCTGCCCCGTAACAGAAATGCGAGAGACCATCCCATGTACTGATACTCCGACATAGACGCGAACGGTATACCACGGCCTCTCCAACGATCGGGTGAAGTTCTGGGAACAGGCATTTTCGGCTCATCGCTTATTGACAACATTCTGCCAAGTATCACGACATCGTCTTCCACGTGGAAAATCGTGGCACACATGCCTTCGCGAACGCTCGGAATTCTCTAGCAGCACCTCAACAGGCACATTTCATCCCCATTCGCGATGCATGTCCGCATCACTGCCCTGCCTGCCAAGTCGCCACTAGGCGATAAGAGGCACGAGCTCCTATTGCAGCGCACGCATTGCCTTTGTATTCGCCCAAAACTCCTTTGCCAATGCCATCGATGCCCCCTCGTCTTTCTGGGCAAGACAAAGCTACTGCTCTTCTCATCGTTTGGCTGAATTGCGCAAGATGAAGTTTTTCCTAGACGCTTTGACGATCGCGTCTTCGGTAGTGGCCAGCTCGTGCCAAACATGTGGGAACAGTTCGTCTTATACATAAGAATAAGTCGCCCTTGTTTTGGGTCAAGGTAGGTTTCGCATCATCCTTTTTTCGACATCTCCGCGGCTATGGCGTCGCATTCGGATAAATTGTCGCACGAGGTCGCGCCTACGGCTGGGCTCACTGCAAAGGATGTTCAGATTGGGACGGATTCTTTGCAGAACTCAACACCCTCATTGCGATCGGAGGATCTTGTCCAGGGAGACTATGGAAGCGACAGTCATCATGTCTTCTCCGAGCCGAAGGTTGCGGACTACTGGCGAGGCGTCTACGAGAAGGCTGAATATGAAGGCCGTCATCGTTTCGATCCAACCTTGACGTGGAGCGCAGACGAAGAACTGAAGTTGAGGCGCAAAGTCGATTTTCGAATCATGTCCTGGTGCTGGGTCATGTTCATGGCACTGGACTTGAACAGAAGGAACATCAATCGAGGTACATACCGTCGTTCAGAGTTGTTGTAATGCCGACTAACGACCATGCAGCCATTTCCGATAACATGCTCGAGGAGCTTGGTATGGACACGAACGATTTCAACACAGGTCAAACCATCTTTCTTGTCTCTTTCCTGGCCGCTGAACTGCCATCTGGACTCATCTCCAAGAAGCTTGGACCCGACATCTGGATACCATTCATCATCCTCGGCTGGTCCATCACTTCGGCAGCACAAGCTGGATTGACGAACAAGGCGGGGTACTATGCTGTCAGATGCATCCTTGGTCTGCTCATGGGAGGCTTCATTCCGGACACTGTGCTGTACATCACCTACTGGTACAATAGCAAGGAGCTCCCGATCCGTCTCTCATGGTTCTGGACCGTGCTCAGTACTTGCAATATTCTTGGGTCCCTCTTGGCAGCTGGTATCCTCCAGATGCGCGGCCTTCAAGGCTGGAGTGGCTGGCAGTGGCTTTTTCTGATCGAGGGATGTGTCACTGCGGTTGCGGGCATCGTGTCTTGGGGACTCATGCCCGCTTCGATCAGTCAAACCAAAGGCTGGGTCCGTGGAAAGAATGGCTGGTTCACTGAGCGAGAAGAGAAGATCCTGGTCAATCGCCTGCTGCGTGATGATCCTTCCAAGGGTGATATGAACAATCGACAAGCCGTCACGCTTGACAGATTGTGGAAGTGCGTCAAGGATTACGACCTCTGGCCCTTGTACCTTGTTGGTCTGACGAACTACATTCCACCCAGCCCACCGCAGAACTACCTGTCTTTCATCTTGCGACAAATGGGCTGGAGCACTTTTGAGGCCAATTTGCTCACCATTCCGTCGCAATTCATGTTTGGTGTCAATCTGCTCATCATCTCATGGGTGTCGGAGAAGTTCAACGAGCGGGCCTTCATCTCTTCGCTTTCGAACATCTGGATCTTCCCTTGGCTCGCGGCTATTGTGGCACTTGGCGGCTCGGCTTCGGACTGGGTACGATACGCTTTGCTAACTGGCTTGCTGTCGTACCCTTACTGCCATGCTATTGTGGTGTCATGGAATAGCAGGAACTCCAACTCAGTGCGAACGAGAGCTGTCTCTGCTGCGCTGTATAACATGTAAGTTCTCTTCTCCCACTCACAGCATGACATCGCCGTACTGACCCATCTGTCTTCTTAGGTTCGTCCAATCTGGCAACATCATCGGCGTCAACATCTACCGAGAAAACGATCGACCATATTACATCCGAGGCAACAGAATCCTTTTGGGTATCTGCTGCTTCAATATTGTGTTGCTATGGTTTGTCAAGTTCTATTACATCACGAGGAATAAGAGAAGGGAAGCAGCTTGGTCGAAATTAACGGGCGAGGAGAAGGTGGATTACGTGAGGAATACCAAGGATGAGGGCGCGAAGAGGTTGGATTTTAGGTTCTCACATTAGTGAGGCAGGACCTTGTTCGGTACGGAACATAGATTGTATGAACAGAATGTTATGATATGATGATGTTGCGGATCGGTTTCGTTGTTCAGTCTATCGCACTGCGGTGATGCACTCCACCGATGCACTGCAATAATGCACTCCGCTAATGCACTGCGGCATTGCACTGCGATACTGCACTGCAATAATGCACTGCAATAATGCACTGCAATAATACACTCCGCCGATGCACTGCGCTAATGGACTGCGGTATTGCACTGCGGTATTGCACTGCGGTATTGCACTGCGGTATTG